CATTCAAGCTGTGACCTGATTAAACTCTGCCCACGTGTTCCTAAGGCACAATAAACCTAACTATCACAATTTTGTTAACATTAAAAAAAATTTTTATTGGTTGTTGAGCATGTAGACAACAGAGCACACACCAACTCAACCACGTCTCCAGGGGTGACTGCAGAATGCTGAGCAGCCACGTCCACTCACCTTCCCGGCCTCAGACCAAGCACACAAGCCAGCCACTGCTCTGAGGTCAATTCCCACTCACAGTGAGCCCACTGGCGGAGGGACCTGCTCCCCAGCACTTCTGAGACAGAAGCAGACGGTCGTATCTTTCTCCTCTTGGAGCGGCTGGTGGGTTGGAACTTCCAGTCTTGTGCTTAGCAGCCCAGTGCTTTATCCTCTGCACCACCAGGGCACCCTACAGCCGTCTCTAAGCTCCCGTGTTCCTCCTGTCAGGGTGGTGCCATGCAGATGGATCCTAAAAGAGCATGATGCTTTGGGCTGGCATTCTTGACTCGCTAACGAAAAACCACACTCACTGCCATTGAGTCAGTGCCCAGTCCATCGTGACCCTCTCTGGGACAGGGTGGAACTGCCCCCGCCACGTGGGTTTCCAAGACTGTAGCTGTGGAGCTAAAGGTAGCGATTATTTGGTGTTAAGCAGACTTGGGGGATATTTTTGGTTTAAGGTTTGGAGATGAACACAGGGAAATCATTTGAAAGGATTTTTTTCCCCAGCCTCCATGGCTCCAGGCAGTCTGGATTCCAGGAGAATTCAGAATTCTTGCCTAAAGGTACCCCCTGTGGCCCGCCTGTGGCTCCTCTGTGGTCCGGATGTGTCTATAGTGTTCTGACTCTGGAGTCCCTGGGGAGAGTCTGAAGCCAGCCGGAGGAAGGCATACGATTGGGGGCAGCATCAGCAAGGGAAGTTAGAAGCCAATCTTAGGCAGATGCGTTTGTGAACGTACCAACACAAAGGGGACTGGCCTGGGGGGATCAGCTAGCGCGTCATGTCCAGGCTGCGCGTGGCCCAGTAATCCCAGAGTGCTTCCCGTCAGAAAAATCCATCAATGCCATTCACCAGGTGAGTGGATCAAAAGACCAAAGCCACGTCTCCGGCTCAACAGATGCAGGCAAGGCTTCAGGAACAGGTCCACACCTGCCTCCTTCCCGCAATCGGAAGACCCACGCATATCCAAAGAGAATACGCTGATCAAGTCCCATCAGGCGACTGTGGTCACGGTGCTCATGGTGAGATGCTGCGCTTCTGAGCTAGGAAGTAAGACAAGGTTAACGCCCCCCAAAGCCAACGCCAAACCCAAACCCCCACTGTCAGCTGATTCCGACTCCTGGCAGGCGGCCCTCTCAACCAAGTACAACTGCCCCGTGGGTTCGCCAGGCTGCCAGCTTTGCAGGGCCGGCGGCCATCAGCGACTGATGGGTTCACCACCGGCCAGTGGACACAGGTCTCCCTCAGCGACTTCCTCACTCAGGTTCTGGAATGAAGACCAGGGAGAGGGATGAGGTGTGGGGTTAGAGAAGAGCGGGAACGTTCACTACGACAATCTTCCACCGAGAAAACGCAGAAGCACTCAGACAACTTATTAAAAATAACAAGCGTGTTTAGCAAGACAGTTGCCTACAAGAAATCGATGTGTAAAACAACCATTTGCATTTTGTACCAGCTACAAAATAATTAGGGAATGGGGGGGGTGGGCCTGGAACCACCAGTTACCATTTTCAGTAGTTGTAAAATATGTAAGGTACTTGGGAACATATCTCATAAAAGATATGCAAGACATTTTTGGAGAACATCGTAAAAATTTATTACAGGACAGTAAAGCCACAGTGCCTTGTTTTGCTCAAAAGGTCAACCACTTGACTACTCACTGAGAGGGTGGGAGCGGGGGTGGCAGGGCAGTTTGAACACACCCGGAAATGCCTTGCAAGAAAGGCTTGGGAGTCTGTCCCTGGGAAAACCCCAGGAGCAGCTCCACGCTGCACAAATGGGGTCCCCGGAGCTGTGCTTGATCTGATGGCAACCAAGCGCCACCACAAACGGTGGTGGTGGTGGTGGTGGTGGTGGTGGTGGTGGTGGTGGGGCTCAGCCCACTCACTGCGGTCGGATCCCTCCTGACTCAGTGGTCCTCAAAGTGGCTGGAGAGACAGTGCAGAAGATAGAGGCAAAATGAGACCATGGTGTCGGTATGGATAGGAGATGTCTAAAGATCACCACCACTGAGTGTGGATTCCGACCCAGATGCCTAGTTGCTTCAGGCGGGTCCACAGGCACAATGGGTCCTAGTCAAAGTAGCCAAAGGTGAGTTGAATTGTTAGGGTCTTGACAGAACTCACAGCCCTTCAAGAGTTGAAGCGGAGCAGCGGGAGCAGGAGCCGCGAGTGTGAGACTGCAGAGAGGTGGGGCCCCGCCTTACGGGGACCCAGGCTTATTGGAATCAAGAGTAACCGCCATAGTTTCTTTTAAAAGTTGTTTATTATGGCTAGGGTGAAAGTTTACAGGGAACACTCATTTTACACTCTGCGTTGGGGCAAATGCTGCCCTTTGGGTCCCATGCGGGCAATTATGCTGCCAAGCACGTTCCTGTCTGGCTCTCTGTTGTTTGACTGGAAAGTGATCTGGGGTCGTGGGAGGGGAAGGAGTGTCATGTCAGTTCCAGGGCTGAGGGGTGTCTAAGGGCTCCAGGCTCGTACAGGCCGCCGTCTCTATTGGACCAGTAAGCCAGGTCCTGATGCTTTTGAGTATTTATTATCTACTTAAAAAAAAAATCATTGTATTGTGAGCTCTTACATAACTCACATCAGGCAGCGTCTTTATTGAATTTTGTTCGACATTGTTTTCTCCTTTTCTGTCCAGCACCTTCTGTGGCCCCCATCAGGGTGGTTGGTGTTGATTGCCGGGCACCACCCTGCTCTCTTGGTCTCGGGTAGAAAAGGCTGCCATTGTATCTGCATGACCAAACGGACAGATCCCGACTCGTGAGACCTTAGGCTTCATAGCTGGCAGGGGTGTTGCTGAGACTGGCAGGACCAGGAGCCCCCCCTTCCTCACCCCAGCCCCAAGCCCAGGGGGTTAGAGACTGGGAGGCAGGAGGATGCATACTCTAGCTTTTCAGAAGAAAGTGTGGAAGAATCTCTCCAGGGCCAAAGGGGCGAACGGGTCCCTAAGCCAAATGGAAACATGGGCCTTAACGGAGAGAGTAGCGGATGAGTGCGGCCACGTTAGATTTAGGAATTTCCGGCAACGTGGCGAGCATTGGAATAAACACGAGTGAAGCGAACAGTGCTCATGCTGAAAGCCTTAGACGGGCATCAGCGCTCTGCCGCACACGCCACCCTTCCGGGACCTGCCGTGGGGCAGTGAGGGAGGCCATGATGCCTCTTGGGGTGGCATCTGGCTCTCAGGCAGGGCTCAGCCCGTGTGCACTCTCCCAGTGGCAGCACAGAGCAGGAAGGGCATTTCACAGGGGCAATGACACGGTGCCCTGGGTACCCGGGCCTGGCACACCCTGACGGCCTCAGCCACGGCAAGGCCACCAGGGCCAGCTCCAGGTTCCTGGTACGTGGCCTTGGGCACCAGACCCTGCCCTCCACACCTCGACTTCCTCCCCTTTCTCTGCTCCTGTGCCCCGGTCACTCATGCAGGGCCCGAGGGAGAGCAGGTGACAGATGGCTGCCGAGGGCCATGTACAGGGCGGGCTGCTGGACGGGGGTGGGCAGGGCGAGCGGGCTTCATGGCTGTTTTTGTGAGCGGCCGAGGGCTGGGCCCATTTCTATTCAGTCCTGCCTCCCCAGGGTTAGTGAGTTCAGGTTGGTTTTCTGAATGCTGAGTGGAAAATTTAGTGTATGCAATGACTACTTTTATTCCGCGGTGACCCCGGGGCCAGGCCCGGGTCAGACGCCGGGGAGACGTAGGTAGGGGTGCAGGGGGGTTGCTGCACCAGGTGGGCTCAGGTCTCACCTCGAGGAGACCCCAGATGAATCACACCAGGGCAGCAGGGGAGGTGGGTGCCCACCAAGGGACACGTGGTTGTGTCCCCCACTGCTCCAGTGTCCATGCTGGCTGGAGACAAGGGCATCAGCAGCTCGCAGGGCAGCCGGTCAATTTTCCGGGGAGCTAGCTGGGGAGACCGGCACTGTTCAGATAACCTCCCAATGACCAAGGCGGCCACTCTGGGTGACGCCAAGGAAGAGGATGGGTCTTTTGATAAGCAACACAAGGAGGCTCACCTGAGTCTGGGGGCTTATGGGAAACGGCCTGGGGTGTGCTCAGGTGGGATCCACTGGGACAAGTACAAGAGCCCTGAGTGGGGCTCTAGGATGGTTGGGCGGCTTGTCAGGCAAGGGGTGGGAGCAGCCAGCTGGAGCAGTCCACAGGCTCGGGTGGAGGTCTGGCAAGATGCTGGGCTTCATCCGGAGGCCCCACAGCCCATCGGAGGGTGTGAAGCGACAGGTGTGCGCACCTGAGAGGAGTCCACAGGGCACTGGGACCTCGTGTGACCGAGGACAGTGTCTCCCAGGCTGGGTGCTTTATGAGACCAGAGTGCCAGGTGTCCCCTCCTCAGAGCCCCTGGGTGGGCTCCTAACTCCAACTGTCCAGCTGGCAGCCTTGGGCTTCACTATGGCCCCACCGGGGCTCCTGGTTGACTGTGTGTGTGTGTGTGTGTGTGTGTGTGTGTGTTCTGTGTTAAAAACCAACCTATGCCTGTGAAGATGGTGATACTCCCAGATACCAGCCTCTCACATGCTGGCCCCCAGGAGTGAGACTGCAGGGGAGAGGCAGACAGAGAGGACACGGAGCAGCAGCACTGAGGAAGAAAGGGCTGGTGATTTCTCCCATCAAGGAACAGCCTAGGAAACTGTGGGGCATCTCCCTTTTGTCACCGTCATTCGGAATCAACTCCACGGTTCACAACAATACCCTCCCTTTCTTCTGATGCCCTTAGTTTTCCCCATGTGTTCTTCCTCTGAAGAACGGGACCTTGCATCTTACTCACCTTCCCGGTTGTCATCAGGTGCTGTAGGGTCCGTTCTGACCATAGCAACCTGACGGACAACAGAACAAAGCACCGCCCGGTCCTGCGCCGTCCGCACAGTGGCCATGATGGCTGAGCCCCGCTGCCGGACCTCCCCCCTTTTCGCTGCCCCTCCACCGAGCATGGTGTCCTTCTCCAGGGACAGCATGTCTAACGTACAGGAGACAGAGTCTTGCCACTTTACTGAAGTTAAATGGGAACCAGAAAGACTCAATCCAGTTATTGGAAAAACTGCGCAGCGTGTCTGGAGCAAACCGGGTCAGGGCATGTCATTTTTCAGCTGCGGGCTTTCTAAAAGCCAAAATGCCCCACAAATACTTCCTGTGAGAATTTGCATCCGGCAGGGGACAGGCTGTAAGTGTCAAACAAACGCCAGACACACGGCCATCGAGCCAATGCTGACTCACAGTGACCCGAGGAGACGGGGCTGAACTGCTCCTGTGGGTTTCTGAGACGGTAGCTCTTTATTTGGGTATCTATTTCAGAACCATTTTATTAGGAACTCAATATGATATCTCCATCATATTGTTCTGTAGATAGCCTCATTAGTCTCCCCGGGGTCGACTGGTGGTTTTGAACTGCCGACCTTGTGATTTACCAGCCCAAAGCATAACCACTACACCACCAGGGGTCCTCCGGCAGAACACTCAGGAGGCCCCACATCCTTCCAAAGGATGCCAGCTATCCTGCCAGGCTTGGATGGTTGATTCCATGTTGAAATAAGAATATTTAGTAACATTGTGTTTTAAATAAAAGTCTAGCATAATCTTATCTTTTTCTCTTTTTACCTTTCTCAATAATGCCATGCGTAGAAAAGCCTGGACTACACAGGGCTAGACGTGTACAGTCAGACGTGAGGAAGGCAGACCTGTGTGAGGTGGGAATTGGACCGGGGGACAGAGAAGCAAACTCAAATGCCTTCACCAAGGGGCGGTGAGAACTGCGCCCTGTCCGTGCACACCCCCCAAGCCACACTCGAGTCCACGCCGACTCATAGTGACCCTGTCGGACAGGGGAGAGCGGCTCCAGGGGGTTTCTGAAACTGTCGCTCTGCAGGAGTAGAAAGGCCCGTCTTTCTCACAAGGAGCAGGTGGTGGATTTGAATGGCTGACCTTGTGGTTAGCAACCCATTAGCCAGCCCCAGAAAAACAAGGCAGCCCGACTGAAGGGCTGGGGGTGGGTGGGAGGAGTGGGGCAGAGGCAGAGAAGAAAGAGGCAGGGGAGGAGGGGACCAGTTCAAAGTGACAGGTGGTTCATGAGGTGGGGGAAGGAGAGCTGGGGCCAAGCCTGGATCTGAGGCTGCTCAGGAGTCCACACCCTCCTGGGTGCAGGAAGAGACAGGGTGGGAGCGGAATGGGGGGGGGGGCACAGGGACCTTGCCAGGTAGTAACAGACGCGGGGGGCTCTGTGTGGGGGAGCCAGCGTCACATCCCAGTGGCCAGCAGAGAGTTAAGCGGCACCACAGCACCTGCTGATGTCACTTTGACCTTGACCCCAGGCGGCCCTCCCTGTGCGTCCCAGGAGAACGGAGCTGCAGGAGCGTGGGGGCTGGTTTTCCATATCACTGGGAGCTTCTTCCTGCGTGCCTCCAGGTGCACCAGCCTCCAGCCTCCCAGGCTCCCAGAAGCGCCCGTTGACTCATCTCTTCTCTTGATTAAAAAGCAAAACTAGTCCCCCAGACACACGCAGGTGGAGCAGAACGCCCCTCTTCCAGCTGAGACCACTTAGTATCGTTCCAGGCCTTTCCCTTTAAAAAAAAAACCAGGGAGAAATCTACATAAATATATGTGTGCGGCGGAGGCGTAGGGAGACGCAAGCTGTTTTTTAAATAAAAATTTAATCCCTGCGATGGCGAAAACACTGCCTAATGAAAATTATGTTTCCAAACAGACAGGGGTGGGTTTTTTTTTTTTTTTTTGGTGGGGGGGGGTCGGGGGTTTTTTTTTTTTTGGTGCTAAATACAGTGTCCTTTGTCTCATTTGCAATGGAAAAGTCCCTTGTTTCAAACAAACAAAAAAAAATACATTATTAAGAGGCTGTACAATACAAACCACATTTTCCAATTCAACAGCTTACAAGGTCAGCCAAGCAAAGACCATGTAACCCAGCCTCCGAGTGTCTCCTCAGTAATGAAATGTGTTCCGGGGCCGCAGGACAATCAGATGCTTGCTAGGTGGGCGCTGGTGCTGGGGGGGGACGGGGGACTGAGATGCTAGCCCCCCACGTGAGGCCCCTCGGTAGCTGGGGGCCCAGGAAAGGCAGGCTGCGTGCAGTTCCAGGGACCCCGGGTGTGCAAGGTTTAAGCATCCGACTGCTAACTGAACAGCTGGCAGTTCGGGCTCGGAGTCCGTCCGGAGAAAGATCTGGTAGTCAGGTCCCTGCAACATCACCCCCTGCCTTTGTGTCCACCAGAGCCACTTGTAGGACAGGGCACAAGCGCCCCGGTGGGGCTCAGAGACTGACTCTGAATGCGAGCAGAAAGCCTCATCTTTCTCCCGAGAAGCCGCTGGTGGCTTCTGGCCACCAGGGTCCGCGCCACCGGCACCGACGCGACGGCAGCAAGGGAGTTTTGCCCAGTTGGTTGCCGTGAGCAGCAACCCCACGGGCCCGTGAGAAACGGCTCCACGGGGCTGCCCAGGCCGTCGGTTGTGTTTCTGAACTTTTTATTGTGTGTGTGTGTGTGTGTGATATCTCAGATCGTATTTCCGTGTCCAGTATCTTAGAACACTGAATGTCAAGCAGGCCTGTGGGTCTTTACGGAAGCAGATTGCCTCACCTGTCTGCTTCCGAGAGCCTGGTGGCTTTGAACTGCCGGTTCTCCAGTCAACAGCCAAATGCAGAGGCCTGTCACCACCAGACCACACGGGGCAGCTGAACTGTGTCCTGGGGGGCACCACCTCCACCTCCTGCACCTCCCCCAGCTCCACCTCCACCTCCACCTCC